TCCTCCTCGCTCCTCCTCCTCCTCCTCCTCCTCCTCCTCCTCCTCCTCCTCCTCCTCCTCCTCCTCCTCCTCCTCCCCCCCGCCACCCGTTTCTGGCAAAGTCTTACGCTTCCTCTGCGCTAGTCCGCTGAAGCACACCCTGCAGTGGAGGCCAGTCCACAAGAAACCTGCCGCAAGAAACCCAACCCTGAGATCCCAGGGCGTCCATGGACTCCTGGTGTGGAACGTCACGCCTTCTGTCGCAGAACCATCGAAATCCAAGAAACCCAGGTCACCCTGGAGGTAAGCAGGTGGTTTCTTGGCATGGGTCTCCACTGTATACGTGACAGTGCATGACCACGGCACCCTTGTCGCATGCAGTAAGCGTGGGTGGGCTTCGGAGGCTTCCCGCTCCGTGGGATTGAATGGTGACACCTGCAAGCGCAGGATAGAAAACGACCACCGTCTTAGTCTTAGCGAGAGCTGCAACCAAATCATGAGCGTAGGCAGTTAGTTTGTGAGCCGCTTCTCCCAGGCTCGATCATGTTCCTGGTCCAGGAGGACTGAAATCACTTTCGGCAGAAGAGCATCGCATAAAGCAACGGCTGCGCTGGGATTGCTCACAAGACAGTCGCAGACCTGAATGTGCATTCGCATCGGTAATCTCGCAAGTGTGCCCCACTCCCGTGCCGACAAGTCCGAGCAACGTCCTAAGAATTCTGCCGACGCGCCTGCTCGGCCTTGCCTAATCCTACTCTTCTTCAGCCACCTGCACCCTCCGCCGTCTTCTTCCTCAACACGCATACTCCGCCCCTCTTCCATGTAGGAGCGCGTGTCGTTATTTTCGGCGGTGCTGGGCATTATAGGGGGGAGGAGGGGCCGAGGTGGGGCATCATGTCCCTCCCCCCCCCCCCCCGCCGTGCGCACGGCGGCAGGGCCCGGAGCGCTCTGGGGGGGGAAGGGGCGTCACGTTATACTGTTGAAGCGGTTAATATTACAGCAATAATTCCCTGAACAGTAAACCCTAAACCCTAAATCCTAATCGTGAAATCCCCCCCCAACCCCGCTGACGTCATTACAGGGCGCAAAAATAATTATCGAAACGATTTTTCCGGTAATGTAATGTTTTTTGCCCCTGCAGTAGGGGGGGAGGGGGGCCGGGGGGCTATGCTGCCCCCTATGCCCCAAACAATAAAAGACACACGCTCTAGGAAACTCCTCCCTGTCGCACTGCCAGACGTTTCGTCGGGGCGGTGCCCCGTGTCTCGCCTGAGACGTCCTCACAGCCTCTTCTGTCCCGAACCCTGAAAACTCCAGCCATGATACGGATGGAGGAACCACAGGTCGTGCTCGCCACGGGGGCTCTTGTCTTGACGCGGCGCGCAACAGCTGCACAAATGTTTGGACGCCCGAAATGGGTACGGAAAAAATGGGTACAATGCCCAACAACGAATGCTGTTCCAAACCCACAGCGGCCGCTGTTGGGCAGGCGGCCTTCTGTCTCGAATGGACACCGGCCGCGGCGGCGTGGACAGCGAGTCCTGTTCCAAATGAACCAAATACAATGCCCAACAACGAATGCTGTTCCAAACCCACAGCGGCCGCTGTTGGGCAGGCGGCCTTCTGTCTCGAATGGACACCGGCCGCGGCGGCGTGGACAGCGAGTCCTGTTCCAAATGAACCAAATCCGCTGTTGGGCTTTGCACCCCTTCTTTCCGTACCCATTTCGTTCGTGCAGAAGATGGAGTGCGGGTGGCGGCTGGGCCAAAAGGGGGCGCCCGCCGGGGCGACGCAAACATCCGACCTGGCGGCTTGCAGCAGCCACAGGGATCGAGGGCGGGCGTCTGCTTCTTAGACCTGCGGGGGCTCCCCCGCCTCGCGCCGCGCCCGCGCTCGTCCAAGGACGCCCGCCGCGGCCCCACGTGAGCGCCACGGGAGGTCGTGCTCCAACGGGGGGCGCCCGCTGGAGACGCCCTCGAACGCCGTGGCTCGAAGCGGCGTGGCGTGAGAGCTGCGCGGGGGGGCGGAGGGCTCCTCGTCTTGGCAGATGGGGCTCTCGCTTGAGACCGCCCAGAACTGCATGGCATGAGCACCCTGGCACTGTGCAACGAATACACGGAAGGAAGGGCTGCCCTTTCCGAAACGATCTGCCGCCGGGAACCTCCCTGAGCTTGATGGCCCTACCTCCTGGCATTTGCAACTGGGAAGATGCAAAGCGGGTGTGTTACAAAAACCAGGTCTCGCCCAAATGACAAGTACACGAGGGAATCGTCTGTTGAGTGTCGCGCCTCCGGCAGTGTCAAGGCATGAGACGGGAGGGTGTTCCAGCATGGTTGACACACCCTGGGTTTACTCGGGTCTCCGTCCTCCTCAGCGTTTATCCTACAGCTCCACCCCACCCAACACAGACACACACACACACACACACACATATCAGTCTGCCCTCCTCCTCGTCAGAATACCATCTCCAACTACTCCTGCCCGTCATGGTATACTCTGCCACCGTCATGGTCTCGCAACCACAACCTTCCACCACCCAGGAGGGGGGATTGTCTGACATCCACCGCCAGCGACCCCACCTACATGAAGCAACAAAAAAAGACAGGTCTTCGGTGGCAGCTCGCGGGAGCCTCCCACACCATCTTGTCGGCTCTTGCGAATCGACGCGAATCGACGCTAATCGACGCTAGACCGACGCCAATCGACGCTAACCGACGCCAAGTCGGCGCTATCTCATCGACTCCATACGCTGATCGACACGAATGGGCGCTAAAGACGGAATTAAGAGGGTACACCAGGCTCCCATGGTTTGCCACCGACGAGATCGGCGTTCGACTCAAGGCCTCTTCGCATGGAGCACCTGGTCGAGCAGTCGCCAAGCGTGGCTCTCGTGCGGCTCTGCTGGAGGAGCGCAGGTGGCCGCCAGCTTAGCAAGACGAGCAAGGGAGGTGAGACATCCGCACCGCTGACATACGCATACAGGCTGGTCGGAAGACGTGGGTGGAAACATGGAAGTAGGAATGCGTTGGAAATAGATGGGGCTTCCGCCCGCCCCCTGAAGAGAGGAAGGAAGAAGGAGCACCACTCGACCCTTGAGGTAGAGGGCGCCTAAAGTAGATTGACATCTGGGAATCCAGAAATGCATACTTTCAACGAGCGGCGTGTACAATTGGATCACCACTGCAGTCGAGAACCACAGAGCGATGGCCCTGCTCACGCAAGCGTTGCGGCTGGGCTTTGAGCTTTGGGGTGCACCCTCCAGGAGGAGGGGGCACCTCCTGAGCAGGGGAGCCCCAGAGACATTCAGGGCACTGGCAAAAGCTGCCAACTCAGGTCCACGCATGCGGCTTCGGAGGGGTCTTCTAGGCAGCAAGCGAATGCGGCGGCACCAAATGGAGGATGAGGGGCGGGCTCATGGGGGAATAGAGAAAGAGGGAAGCAGGTGTGTGTGGGCCGCCTTCCGGATCGGATTCGATTTGTTGTCCTGGCGGTCGATATAGTCGCCTGACTCACGCAATGGCGACAGCGAACACTCTGAGCACAACAGACACGCTCGCTCATTCGACTCACCCACCTGGCGAAAACGCCCGCACCTACGCACTGCACTCAACACGAAAGGAACGGAACAGCGGGGTCGTCTGGCACACGAGCACAATCACGTACAAACGCTGACATACGGACAGGCACTCGCACAGAAATGAGGCACGCCAGGCACGCAAATCTACACACGTACAATCACTGCACATGGGTGAATCCGTGCATGACGTGAGCGTTCGACGCTGCAGCGCATCACTGTCCAAGCTCAGCAAGAATCGGCCAGACGGGCCCGAATAAGAGGCCACCGCTTCAACGAGGAGGGAGCAGGACTGAAAGAAGAAAGGAAAGGAATGATGGTAGTGTTAAGTCGGGCATGTCCTCCTACAGGCGGATTCTGGAGAAAAATAAAGATAGTTAACGAATACTCCAAAATAGTCAAACATATTGGAAAGATCGTCCCCATGTTATGTTGTAAAACTATGCTTGGATATTCCCCCTGTAGAGGGACATGCCCAACTTAATGGCAGTGAGGCGCGCGTCTGGCCCGTGTGGGGCCTCTGGGGGCCTCCGAGGGACCTCTGGAGGCCCCGAGTCAGAAGGCTCAGGGATAGGAGGAAGGATGCAAAGGGAGTGGGAGGAGGAGAGACAACGCAGGACACAGCAATCGGGGGCGCGCAAGCATGGATTAGCGTTAAGTCGGGCCTGTCCCCCTACAGGGGGATTTTGACGAAAAATACAAAATATCAGACAATACCTAAAAGATACACAAAAATACTATAAAAAAAAATAGTCCCCTGCGCCGTCGCCGAAATCCATGGACCGGGAGAGGTGCCCTCTCCAAAATGTGGCACGCGCCTCCTCGCTCGGCGGCGGAAGTCCGCGATGCACCATGGGAACGGGACCCGACGCTAGTCCACGCCCCCTTGATCCATGTTTGCGATCGCCTGACGCAACGACGATGGAATACAGTCAACCCGCAAAGTAAGGATGCGCGATAAGGATGCCAGGGCTTTGGACGCCCACTTCGAGGCTTTTCGAGCGGGGCGAGACCAGCGAAAGCGACCAAGGATGGGCCGAGGAGGCAAGGATGCAAGGGTACCCTTGGGAAGGCTGCCCATCCTTACTCTGCGGGTTGACTGTGTAACCTCTGATCGCAAGTCCTCTCCTCATGAGTTCCCACAAGCCTTCCTCCGTACTGCAAGAAGCACCCCCTTGAAAACAAACACCCTTTATGGGTCTGCCCCACTCAGGCGAGAGTATCGTTTGAAAAAAGAAATGCCTTGCATCCTTTTTTGCAAACAGTAGGGCACGCGAAGAGACATGACCATGCAGTTCAACGAGGTGTGCAGCGAAATCCCCGTTTTGAGCAACGGCCGCCCCCCATCATACGCGCTCCACGTTTCCCAAGCGCCCACTCCTGGCGATGAACTTCGATGAAGTCTTCTGGAAAACCGTCGAGACCGCGCATGAAAGATCGGGCCTCGTCTCGCGCGCCGGCCAGCCACGGCCCCCGAGCGCAATTCGATTGTCCGCTATCTCGCGGGCGTTGCGCTGCAGGCTCGGATTGAAGGGGCCCTGGGACACACAAATAAATACACACAAACGGAACTATTCCCCATATTTTCTTATATTTTCTGGGTTTTTGTCTTCCCCCCACTTCCCATATTTTCCCAAATGTTCTGGGGAGTTGCCGATCAAGTGTGTCTGTGTGTTTCTTTCCCTCCTGACGGACGGCGTTCCCGGGCCAGCTCGATCTCGACAGGCCCCGGCCTGCCCTCCACGAGGGTCGACCGGTCGAGAGGGGGCGCGCAGTCCGGGCTCTTCTGGGGCAAGCCCCCCGGAGAACATCACGGGCGCGCGCCGCCGCTCGCCAGAGTTGGACAGCCCTCGAACAGCCCGACGCGCGCGCGCCCCAGCACCCGCGAGGAGGTCGCCCGCGCGCGCAAAGTAGAGAGCCCAAACAATAACGAAATACACACTAACATATTATATACATATATATATATATAACACAAACGAAAGAAAAGACATGTAAAAAAGGCCGCCCTCGCTGAGGCCGCGGAGCGCCGCTGGGCTGAGCTGGGACGGCATCGCGAGGGTAGCGCCTCGGCGCCGTCGTCCGCGAGGCCCGCCTCGACCAGCCCTCGGCGCAGACGTCGAGGCCGCAGCCTGGGCGCGCCCGCGAGCCCGAAGGTGCCCGTCTTGATCTTCAGGAGACAGCGAGGACCCATGTCCTCAGGCGCCCCGTGGTTTGTGAAGCACTCCTCGGCGCGCCCGCGCTCTCGCCCTGCAAGAAGACGCGCTCGACGTTGCCAGCCGCGACGTCGAAGTCGCGCGACGCAGCCGCCGCCAGATGGGCGAGCACCGAACGCCTCGAAACAATTGGAGCGCCCGCGCGGGGTCCCACCGCGGGGCCTGGGCCATTGCGCCCGCCGCAGCACAGCCTGGCCTTCGGCTTTAAGCGGCGCGCCCTTCACTCCAGCATTCTCGTCGCGATGCAGAAGTCGAGATGTCGAGATGCGGCCCAGGCGAATTCGCCCGCGAACTCGCTGGCCTTCCTCGACGCAGAGGAGCTCGACGGCGACGCAGCCCCCTTCCCGCCGATTCCTGTGCAACGCCACCGCCTCGCGGCGGTGGAAGCGATCGCAAGCTGGGATCGCGCCCCGAGGCGCCCCCACTCGGATGCCCGACGCGGCAGCCGAGTCCCGCTCCAGCTCCGCCTCGCGACGAGACCAAAACTAAACATGGCAGATCGAACAGACCGTTCGGGGCGGCTCCTGGACGCTGGGGCAGCCCCACAAGAAGCTGGCAGGAACGCCATGCTCCAGCGGCCGCGAAGCGCAGCCGGCCGCTTCAGGAACTCCCTTCGTTCGCCGGGAACTCCGCGTTCTGGAGTGCTTGGCCGAGCCGGCGCCGCTGACGACGACGGCGCCAGCGTTGCCGATGGAGAGTCCGCCCGCGCTGACGTCGCACGCGCCGACGATGAAGAACACCCCCCGCCGCTTGCGGGGCGGCTCTTCCACTGGGCGCTCGGCCACAACAACCGGGCGCCTGCTCTCCGAGCCCAGCAGCATGAGCGGCCCGTCGTTCTCGACGCGGCGCACGCGTCTTCGGCCAGCTCCTCCGCCGCGCGCCCCATGGAGGGCGCCCGCCGCCCAGGCCCCGCCCCCCCGCCGCCGCTGCAACTTAAGGTTAGGCGCTTCCTTTCCGCCCCCCATGGCCCACGCCCTCGGTCGCCCTCCAACTCGGGCCGATCTCCATTCTCAGGCCTGGCGGATCAGCTCGAGGCCCGATCAGGTCTTCAATGTTCGGATCGTCGCCCTGGCCAGGTCACCAGATGTCCTCGGCCCCAGCGGGTCGAAGCCGATCGCTGGGAACATGGGCCGCCCCCGCGCCGTGGAAGAGCCAGAAATTCGACGCGCCCGCTGGGCCGATGACGACCGCTGGGCCTCGCCACTCGTGGAGCTCGGCCCCCCTGCGCAGCCGCCGACAGAACGCCGGGCCCCCGTTCTCGCAATTGACGCGGGCGACCCTCGGCTTCCGCAAGAGCGCTCGACAGCGCGCCGGGCTACCCTGCAGCTTCGCGAAGGCCGCCAGCGCAGCAGCACGGATAGCAATCCCCCTCGCACGCCCGGCGAGCACGCGACGCGCGCGGCGCCCCAGTCCGCCCGGGCCGGCCCACCAGGTCGGCAGACATTGTAGGCGACCAGCCGCGCAATCACGGTTATGAGGAAAACCGCACGCCCGCCGCAAGTCGCGTCGCCCTGTTCCCGGCGGGCCCCCCAGGCGGCGGCCCCCAGGTCGCTGCGCTCCTTGATCGACTTGCGCTCGACGACGCCGTTGACAATGAGCTTGGGCCAGCCGCCGCGTCGCTCGGCGCGCCTGTTCTGCCGCTGCGACTGCCCGGCCACCTCCTTGACCTGGGTGCCCGCCAGGTCCACGGCCCCCTGGAAGTCCGCGTAGAACGCGCCGTCAAGGTAGAGCGCCACCGCCCTAGGCGGTCCTGCAGGCCACCCTTCCTGAATTGGAAGGTGAATGTGGGGGTCGGGCGCAGGGCCCTGGCAACGGCGGCCCAATGGGCGACGCATTGGCGACGCATCCTCGGTCGCTGTGCTCGGCGGGGGAACCGAGCGGGCGGGGGAACCGATCGAAGCTCCCCGCCTGCACCCCCGCGCGAGACTCGAGGGCGAACAAGGCGGGAGGCGGGGGGCTGGGGAGAGGCGACGAAGGCAACGCGCGCTGAGGTCGCAAGAGGAAAAAATTTGAACGCTCAAAGGCGGCGAGGAGAGTGTCGAAATCTGCCCAGCCAATCTGACGCGCGGAACACTGCGCCTCAGTCCTGGGGATCCTGAAGGCCAGGGCAAAATGTGAATTCACATGGAGGGGAAAGCAACATGTGAATTTACATGAAAATATGATATCGCAGTTGGGGGACAAACCACATATATATATATATATATGAATGTGAACCCACAGTTTGGAATATCACGTTAAATTATATATATATATATATAGCTAGACGAGGGGGCATGTATGTGAATTCACATGTTGGGAAGGAAAGTGTGATTTCACGCGTTGGGAGACTTGGAACATCGGAATTCGCATTTTAAGAAAATAGCCGGGCCCGTTCCCCTCTGCCCTCGGGGTCGACAAGACATCGCATTGGAACTCAGACGATCCTAAATCGCATATCCAAGACGCGCTTGCACCACACTTCGCCGCCCCACGCGCGAAATGCAAGAACGCCCCCGCGTGCGAACTTCAATGGGCGAACGGCGCGCACGCCCGCGCGGGCAGAGCGCGGGCACGAACGACTGGCCCTTATGCCCGCCCAGATGGGGTGTCAGTCATACCCGATCATATACATTAGCGATAGATTGAGCACACATGGGCCATTCAGGCCCAACTTCAGACCTCCTGTCGTGGACACCTTCTTGCACCTTCTGACTGAGTGACCTCGGCGACTGCGGTTGGCTTCTGGCACCTCAGGCGGCGGGCGACATGGCGCGTCGCGGGGGCCTCGACGATTGACCAGACAAGGTAGGGCCTCCCGCGACGGCCGCGCAGCCGGGAGGCCGTCGACGCCCAGCCCGTCGTCGGAGCCGCCGACCGGCGACGAGCGAGAGACCCGGCGCGAGCCCGCAGCTGGCACTGTCCCGTTGCACGTGCTGCAACGCAGTTCTCGGCGCCTCGGACAACTCGCGACGAATCGCCCGCGCCGTTGTGCCTCGGGCCCCTGACCAGGTCGCCGTTCGAAGCCGCCGCAGGGTGGAGAAGGCGCCTGAATTGAGCTCGCATTTCCAGCGGCAGAATGCAAGCCCGCTCCCCGAATGTGATAGCACAGCCCCCCACAGACTCTTCCTCTGGCGCCTGGTCGTCGCCATCGTCGATGTCCGCCGCCATGGCCCTGTGGCTCTGGTTGAACACCTCCTGGAATGCGTCGACGACGCGACGGGTGATGGCGTCGGTATAGACCTGGTTCCAAAAAGTCCCCTTCGGCACGCGCTTCAGCTCCTCGCGCCCGCGGGGCCGCAATGTTTCTCGATGGCGGCGCGCGTCGCGAGGGCCCTGGCGGATTTCTTGGCGGCTTTTCCTGGCGCGCGGAATCCCTGGGCCGAGCGCGCGCACGTCCGTCTGAAACTCGACCGCGCCCGGGAGCTGCTCGAGCTCCCCCCGCGCGCCTTCGCCCCGCGACTGCCCGAGCCAAGCATGTTCGACGGCTGCCATCCAGCTGCCCTCGCGCTGCAAGGTGAAGACCGTCTGCGCGAGCCACGGGGTCGGCAGTTCCTTGAGCCGCACACGCCACAGACGCCGCCTGTCCCCCTTGCAAACGAGACTCTGCGCGCGGCTCCAAATCCTGCAGGGCGGACGGCACCCCATGCGGGCGAAGAAAACAACTTTTCTTCACCACCGAATTCGGGCCACCCACCATTGCCACCCGCGCGAGCAGGGCGGCTCCGGCACCGCGCAGCCGGCTTCGCCAAGAGGTCCCGTCGCGCTGAGGACGCAAATTGTCCGCGACCCCTCCTGGCCGCTTCGCCCTGCGGAAACAAAGTTGGCGCCGGCAATAAACCGTCAACCTGGCTACCGCCGGGGACCTCGTAGAGTTCCCACTCACTCGTCATGGACGTCGCGAAAGAAGGCCCGGTCTTTTCGACAAGAGGCCCCTTCGCGCTGCGGACACGAATCGTCTGCGACACCTTTCAGGTCCATTCGCCCTTCGGATGGCAAACTATCAGTGGCCCCTTCGCTGGCCGCCTGCCCCGCGTCTCCAGCGCGCGAGCGCGCCCCGCGTCTCCCGCCGCGCGGCGTGCGACGCGACCGACGAGGCACCGTCGTTCCGAACGCAGACAACGCGGCGTCACGTTCCGAACATCCGCAAGACATGCTCGAAAAAGTGCCCCAGAAATGCACCAAAAAGGCTCCACATATACTCAACGCCCACTCCAACAAAACTCTGGGAACGCTCCGACCAAAACTCCAATATTAGTCCTTAAAACCTCCAGAGCTACTCCGAGCATACTCCGAACGTGCCCCGACAGACTTTGAACGCGGTCTGGAGACAGTCTGAACAACTCTCGTTCGCATGACTACGGCGTGAAAGGGGGTTGTATGTGCACGCGCGCATGTATCCACACGTGTGAACCCGAGGGCACGCACTTCTGTCCGCCACCGTGCCACCTGGCCCGCTGAAGCTCAAGCGTGGTAGGATGCCTGGTGCTGCCTGGAAAAGTCCCTGCCAATTTACCAAGACCCCCACCCCCAACTGCACTCACTCACCTTTCTACCCGTCGAAGAAGCCCATCGGCAGAGAGAGAGGCGGTCGAGGGGGAAGGGAGGGAGGGAGTGGCAGGGGGGGACGGGGCGGGGGGCACGCAGCCAGCACGCAGGCTGCCCGAGTTACGCATGAGTCCGGCGGCCCCAGGCGCTGCACCAAGCGCGCCTGCAGCGCATAGCGCCATGCGGCCTCGCGCCCGCCAGCCCGGCACGACGGGCAATAGCAGTTGGGCTGCCTGGACGACGGGCAAGTGCTCTCACACCCGCCTGTCAGCATCGCCCCTCCCCTCCTCAGCAGCCATAGGCGGCCCGGCGCCTCCTTGACATTCTCCAGAGCACCCCACGGCTCCCAGAGCGCCCGTTGCCACCATTGCTTCGCACTGCCTCGCAGGCCCTCATTGGACCCAACAAACCGAAGAGGTGCCAAAGGGGGCCCCGGCAGGCTTCCAAAACGCCAGAGAGAAGAGCCAGGGAGGCATTCCAGGCAGGCCAAAATCATTCAAACACCTGAAGCAGCCCTTGGGTATTTGCACGCGTCGGGATTCCAGGACTTCTCGGCTCAAGATGGTTCTAAACGAGGGCCTCGGAGAAGCCAGAGAAGGACGAAACGAGCCAAACGAGGGCCCTGAGATGCCCACCCCCCACACTGATTGGGACAGCCCCAGCAGACCTCAAGAAGGCCCCCATAGATACGTCCAGGAAAACCCAAAAAGGACCCAGCCCCCAGAGACCCCCCAGATGGCCGAGCAAGGCCCAGGGTGACCCAAAACGGCATCAGCATTGCCCACGAGGGCCCCAGGACTTCCCAAACAGCGTGCAGAGACGGCCATACGTGGGCTCCAGAAAGCCCAAAGACGGCCGAGGTAGGCCCACATGAGATCCTCTAACAAAGGATGAAGGCCAGAGGTGCCACATGCTGCGGCGTTCTATAGGTGGTACTCAGAACGCCGACACACACACACACAGTGCGGCGCCGGCACGGGGGTTGACGGCGGTGGCTAACTTTGTGGGTTCGGCACGATCCCGTTGTACATCAGACCTTGTGTATGGGGGAGCACGCAACTGTATGCGCTCGCATACGCGTACAACCAAAATCTGCGCCACGCGAAGATGCGTGTGTGTGCACGCGTGCGTGTCATCGTATGTACGTGTGTACGTCCTTGTGGGAAATGCGCAGCCGTAGATCGCACCACTGACCCACACCGCAAAACAAACTCGAGCTCGTCGTCGCAGAAAGCACACCTCAGGGTTTAACCCTGGACTCCAAGACCAGCTAGTCCACGATGAAAATACGTACATAGTCGTACCCAGAGACTTGCCAACGAACGATGCTGAGTAAGCATGATTGCTCTTCGCCCCGCCCTGGATATAGGAACCTTGCGCCCGCACGCCAGTCGGGGGGAGGGGGGCGTTTCCAAACCTCGAGTCCTGCCGTGTGTTGCATGACGCCCTATCCGAAGCAGCCGACGCGCGCGCGAGAACGTTGTAGACGCGAACGTTCTCCAAGCACGAATGCGCAATTCCCGCGAGGGGGGGGGAACCAACGGGGATGAGCAGTACGGGCGAAGCCTTGTGAATGGCATCAGAAACGGACTGGTGGGTTCAACAAAAAAGCCACTTGGCTCGTGACTGGAGTTCAACGACGATCCCGGAGGGGTCCGATGGGCCTTGCGGAATTCAGGATTGTCTTAGGGTCCGATGTCCACCGAACATCAGATGACTCCTTACCTCCTCGGTCGCCATCTCAAAACACGCAGTCTCGACGCGCGCGAAACCGCGGGCGAGCACAAGCATGTAGCAAAGCATTGAAATATTTGAATCATCCACAAAGCATGATTTGGGTATTTTCCCGCTGTCAACACAAAGCACGAAGCGTGGTTGACTATGTTTGGACATGATCATGGCTCCCATGAAGTTGCCCGACGTTGCGATCACCATCTGTACAAACACAACTTACGTCCCATAAACTACCTCCTCCAGTTAATGCCGCCAAGCTTACACAACATAGATTACACCAAATAGCTTGCACCGCATAGTTTTCACCTCCATAGCTTACACCACATAGCTTACACGACAAGCTTTAACCACAGAGCTTTCACCGCATGGCTTTCAGCACATAGCTTGCACAGCATAGCTGCCACCTCACCAGTGCAATAACGCGATGTGAGGGACTCACGCTGGCTAATATCTGCTCAAACACTATCCGACGTCCAGAAATGTCACGCGACGACCCCGGGAAACACCAGGGAACGACCGAACCCTGGGCCCTGAGGCCCCTTGAAGGATACGCTGGATACTCGTTGCAGTGAACTCGAAGGGATCTGAGGACGGGAGCAATCGATATTATTCACCACGTCTCCTCCTCCTCCTACGACGACGACAACGAAGTGACAGTGACGGCGGCGACGCGACACACACACACACACACGCAAACACACACACGCAAACACGCACACGCAAACACGCACACACAAACACACCCCCACACACACACACACACACACACACACACACACACACACACACACACACACACACACACACACACATACACGCATACGCTCCGCTGGGCCTCGGCCCACCGCCAGCTCTGCGGCAGGTGCCTGCGAGGAAGGAGGAGGACGACACAGAAGGGGGGAGGAGTGCAGGGAGGAGAAGCGAGGGCAGGAGCGAGGAGGGACGAGAGCGGAAGGCGCGGAGGGGCGTCAGCCCCCTCGCCGGTGCTGCCCATGTCCAGGAGGAAGTAGTTGCTGGCAGCGGGCGAGTCCACATCGGCGAAGCTGAACGTCTAGCGGGGCGAAGGAGGCGGCGTGGGGAGAGAGAGAGCGAAAACACAAACCACAAACGCAAAAACAAAAAATCGCAAGAAACAACGAACGGGCACCTGTAGGATTGGCGACATCTTCGAATGTTTCTGGAGGGCTCCAGAGGCCTCTGGGGGCGCTGGAAGGGGGCATTCATTCGAAGTTCTCGCGAGTGTTGCGTCACATGCGGAGCAATGTAAGGGAGCCTTCGATACGGTTTGCCGTCTCGCCTTCCCTAATTAGTCGCCGCACAGGCTCCGTCTTGATCCTCGCTCCCCAGAGACCACAAGCTCGGACTGCCAGTTCGACGCCAATGCCATGGTCTTGCTACCAGGGGATCAGGGGCATAGTGCGTGGGCGGGGATGGCAGGAGAGCCCCAAATCGATGTCGGATCGGCGCTCGAAATGAATCTGATCGGCGGAAATCGGCAGCCGAGTCGGGAAAGTCGAGTCGGCGGAAATCGGCAGGCCAGTAGGCCTCCAACGACAAATCGGAACCCGAATCGGAATCCCACGTCGAATCGGATCGGAATCGGATCCATCGAAATCGAATCGAATCGGCGGCATCGAAATGAGCCCTGTATTGGACACACATTTCGCCTACTTGGAGGGATGTATAGTGCGGGCAAGGTTCGTATCCATGTCCAGTGCGTCTTGGCTGTTTTGGGAAGGAGCATCACAAGGCCGAGGCGCACTGGATACGGATAAAAATCGAGCCCATAGGGGGCAGATTTATCCATATCCAGCGCGCCTCTGGCTTCTGGGGAAGGGAACCCGAAACTCCATATCGCAGTGGACATGGACAGAAGCACTGCCCGCATATGGAACTCCCCATCCCGGCGCGCTGCCGCAGCGTAGCGCTTCACGCTGGCGGCTGGCGCTGGACGAGCGCGACGTGGAGCGGGCGGGGGCCCGGCGGGCGGCAGCGCGCGCGCCTTGGCGTCCGGGTCGTCCCGGCCGTAGGGCATCATGCTGAAGCGCCACGAGATCGGCTTCGGGAGGTCCTCACCAAGGGGGGGCGAGGGGAGCATGACGGCGACCGCTGGGAGGGAAGGAGGGAGGGGCAGAAGCGTGGAGAGGGGGAGCGGAGCGGAGGGGTGAGCAGAAAGAAAGCGTTTCGGGAGGACTAGCTAGATGTCTTTCCTTCGCGGGCTCGGGACGCCTTTTCACGTGAAAGCACTGGTCATCACATGCATCACCAACACCACAGAAAGCATCGCCATCATCCTCATCATCATAACCACCACCGCAACCACCACCACAACCACCACGATCATCATCATCATCATCATCATCATCATCATCATCACCACCACCACCACCATCATCATCATCATAGTCATCATCATCATCAGCAGCATAATCATCATCATCATCATCAGCATCATCATCATCAGCATCATCATCATCATCATCATCATCTTAATCAGCATAATCTTCATCATCATCACCACCACCATCATCACCTTTTCCAGTATCATCATCATCAGCATCAGCATCATCATCATCATCAGCATCATCATCATCATTTTCATCAGCATAATCTTCATCATCATCTTCATCATCATCATCACCACCACCATCATCACCTTTTTCAGTATCATCATCATCAGCATCAGCATCAGCATCAGCATCATAATCGCTCATCGGCAGCATCAGCATCAGCATCAGCAGCATCATCACCATAATCAGCATCATCATCATCAGCAGCAGCGTCAGCATCAGCATCAACATCATCATCAGCAGCAGCATCATCGACAACAGTATCATCCTCGTCAGCATCATCATAATCATCATAATCAGCAGCACCGTCATCAGCACTGTTATCATCATCAACATCATCATCAACGTCGCCGTCATCATCATCAGCATCACCACCATCACCATCAGCATCATCATCCTTATCAGTATCTCATTATCAACATCATCACCATCATCACCATCATGTTCATGGTCAGCATCGTCATCATCAGAATCTGCAGTGCCACAATCATTACCCCAATCATCAACAACACATCGCCATCATCACCCTTCTCGTCACCATCATCACCATCATAATCGTCAACCTAGTCATCACCCACAACATCAGCAACAAATTCTTCATCATCAGCATCACCATCATCATCAACACAGAAATCATCACCCGCACATCGACAACCAAAACATATCGCTCGCTGTCTTGCGCGCGTGCCATTCAACTGTGTACCCCAAGCGCTCAATTTCCGCCCACATCGTTTCTCGGGGGTCTCTCCTTTATCGTTACGGTTGACCAGGCTGGGCCCAAAAGAACGAGCAGCTAGGACGGCGAGATGGAAGAAGGAAGGCGTGAAAAAGAATGAGAAAGGGCGCACAGTGAAGGACTAAATCGGAGGGGTGAGGGAGGACGGCTCGGAGGTCGGGCAGAGGGAGCAAAGATGCGGGAACAGGTTTTAAAGGGGGAGGACCAGGCAGCCTGAGGCAGAACATCCCGATCTGTGGCCGCGATCATGCGGCTGCCTCCTTGGCCCGAATGCGCTCAGCCAGGGCCCGCAGCCGATCGTTGTCGACCAAGCGAGCCTTGCCTGCTGAGGCGGGGCCAGGAGGGGCCAGGAGCACCGACTTAGGCGGCGGCCTGCATGGTGCAACAGCATCATCACCCTCAGGATTCCTACGATAATGAGGATGGAGGCCCTCTCGAATGCGCTTGATGGTACCTTCTCCTGAGGTGCCAGGCTCTCCGAGACACATCTGGCCGAGCAAGTGGCAGCGTCTGCTGGTATACGCCCCAAGGGAGGGAGGCAGGAGCGAAAAAAGAGGGCGGGGAGGAAGGAGGTAGGAGAGGACAGGGATGCGGGATAAGGATGCCCATCCTCATCGTCAAAAACAATAACACTCCTTTAATGCCTCTTTCTCCTCCATTGTCCTCCTCCTTCGCCTTGCCCGCCGCCTCCTTTCTACATCCTCTCTCCCCCCATCTCCTCCTCATCCATACTCTCCTGACCAGTTCCTATGTGCCCTTCCTCCGATTAGCCATCATGACCCTCCTCCTCCTCCTCCTCTCCCGCTTCCCCCAGCCTGATATCCATGAGTCCTCTCATTCTCCTCGTCCACATCATCCTCCTCATCCTCCTCCTCCCTCTTCCCTCCGCCTCTTCTTCCTCATACTCGTCGTCATCATCATTCGCCACCTCGTTCTCCCGAGTCCATCTTCTTCACCGCCAGCATCGGTTTCATCCTCCTCCTCCCTTCGTCTCATCCGCCTCCTTCCCATTGCACCTCACAATCATTATGAGCATCCTTTCTGCCTCTACTTCCTCCTCTTCACCCTCCACTCGTTTTCAATATAACTTATCAGGTTCAAGGAGATATCGCTTTAGGGACGCGAATTTTCACCACATCGGTTCACGCATTAAAAGCAGCAAAAGGCCGTGTATTACCTGTCTGCCACGTAGTATGGACAAGTATTACATCGTCCAAACGTTACACCGAACATTGGTTCCCGCATTTATTTCAGCATTTCTTGGTTGGGTTTCTGGTTTCTTGGTAGGGCTCCCGGTTTCTTCGTAGGGCTCTCGGTTTCTTGGTAGGGCTCCCGGTTTCTTGGTAGGGCTCTCGGTTTCTTGGTAGGGCTCTCGGTTTCTTGGTAGGGCTCTCGGTTTCTTGGTAGGGCTCTCGGTTTCTTGGTAGGGCTCTCGGTTTCTTGGTAGGGCTCTCGGTTTCTTGGTAGGGCTCTCGGTTTCGTGGTAGGGCTCTCGGTTTCTTGGCATACCCCATGCGAGGTCGAGACGGTCGGGTGCACAGTCAGAACGGAGCGGCGGATTTGCGCAGCAATGCAGCCGTCTGTATGTACAACGAGACAGTGCACGAACATGTAACATATCACACAACGTCGCCATGGCTTCGCCTTCCCCGCACGACGGAAACGGCCTAACTACAAGTTTGTCCTCGAGACACGGGTTGACGCGCCCGCGCTAGTTCCCTTGGGGCACTGTTTTGAAAACGGATGGGGGGGGCTCAAGATGGGCCAAGAGGGCACCGAAGGGGCTCCCAAGATGACCCAGGCGAGCCGCGAATCGAAGATCGGTCCAACGTGTGTGATGCCCACAGTTTCGATTCCAAGGCGTCCCCGAGGAGGCTCCCAAGACGCCCAAGAAGGAAAACGCGCATTGATAACATCTCATCCTTCTGCCTCGTGAAGATCCTGAGAGGCGTCAGGTGTGCCTGGAGCTGCCCAGAGGAGATCCTCAACAAGACCTCGATGAGCCCAGATGGAGCCCCAAACCGTCGCTTCCAGAGGGGGGGCTTCAAAGTTCCCACGAGGCACCCCAGGAGGCGTCAGACCCGCAACACGGGATCGCGGTCAGAGAGAGAGAAAGGTGGAGAGAACGAGAGAGATAGAGAAGATGAGGAAGGGCAAGGGGGAGAGCGGGAGAGAGAAAGAGAGACAGAGGAAGAGCGAGAGAGAGAGAGAGAGAAGGCACGAATGATGTGGCGCTATGGTGGCCCGCCAACCTTGCACTATATCATGTCAGGGTACGCCCACGAAGCCAGCCCATCCGAATCCACGAGGATTAAACGCTGGACTTCACTAGAGCAGAGGGTCAGCGCAACTCGTCACTGAGAGCAGAGGGTCAGCGCAACTCGCCACTGCCTGAGCAGTGGCCTAGGTCAGACAGGCGCAAACTCGGGCAGACATATGTTGCTGGAATGTGTGCTTCCACCCCGTAGTCGTACTCCTCCTTTTCCTCCTCCTCCTCCTCCTCCTCCTCCTCCTCGCCCTCCTCTTCCTGGTCCCCCAGAGGACCACGCACGCACCTAATGCTAGCGATGTATGCTTCGGCGCGCTATTGCCTTCCTCTGTTGCTCCCCAGACCCCATTTCCCGCCTCCTCCAACCCCCGATCAACACTCAATCCATGTCGGCAATGCTGCTTAGCAGCGAGAGGTCCACACTGGCATCTGCCAAGAGTGTCTCCACGCCGCTGCCCTGGCGCGAGATCGCATCGTCACCGAGTGAGCTCTCGAAAAAAACTGGCTGGCAAAGTGCCGAGCATAGCAATCAGCCTCGCCATCCAGATCTGACCCGAGATGGCGTTTCCAGCAAGGTCACTCATCAAGTTATCCCATTCTAGCTTGTCTGCCAACTCGTCGGCTGGCCATCCCTGGATTGCCAGAGACTCCCGACCCAGCAACAATCTTGGCTCTGAAAGCTTCGGGAGCCACAGCCGCTGGCCAGGCAAGAGCGTGTTCAAATTATCGGGATCGTCAGAGCTTCCAGCTGACTGGGGCCGCTGGGACAAGTTCACGGAAGTCACGTCGGGCTTCGTGAGCATTTTGTAGCCGAGCACGACCTTCTCCCTGTCACAGAGGCATGCGTACCAAGAGCTGCAGCGCTGTTCTTCGGGTGGGACACGATCGGATAGCTGGATGCCTTTGCCCTCCAGGAAGTCAGAGTACGGCTTGCTCCACGTGTTGCTCTTGCCAATGCTCTGCTTGTTCGCCGCGATCTCGTCGCGCCGCTTCTCCAAGTAGTTGTCGCCGTCGGCCAGCAAGAACGCGTCGAACCCGTCGCGAGGTTCCGCCTCCATCTTCCCCATGCACTTGAAGACGTCGTCTATGAGCGCCCTCGCCGACTCAGGGTCCAACTCGCTGCCCCAGACGTCCAAGGCAAGTATGAACGTTCGGCTCCGCTTCTGCGGAGACTGGCACTTGTCACTGTGCAATACACGAGCGCGGAAAACGTAGCCGATGGAATGGAAGGCCTCCTCCATCTCAGACATGTGGGAGGCGGACTCTGCAATTTCCGCAAGGTTCTCGCCTGCGTACACGGGGGGCCTGTGCTCGCTCAGGTAGGACACGATCGCCAGAAAGGTTTTCCCAGTGCTCAGTTTCGGGTCAGTCAGCGCCCTGGGGTTCAAGTTCCGCCAGCCGACCTTCAGCTTGGAGAGGTCCTTGCAGGAGAAGCTCATCAAGGCGACGAGCGGGCCCTGAGCACCAGTTGGAACAGAACAGGATTTGCCGCCATG